GTAAATTAAATTTACGATACAATTAATTTCAGTTAGAATTTGGCAAAACAATGCGTAGTTCCAATAAAAGTAAAGTAACAGATTTGAATTAGAACTGCAGTCGCTAGCCCGTTATACTTACAGAATTACATCAAATTTTGTTAATCACTTACTATATTGCGAATGCAAATGTTGTAAATATTGTTTTTGTTTCTATTACATCCATTATAATATATCGAAGTAAACGATACACAATCAATTCCGAATCATAATTACAATAATCTTAGCTACAACTATATAGAGATACATTTAAATTGTATTATTAGATACACGATATACTATTATCCTAATTTTCTCCTCAGAACACGTCGATCATTTTTATTGCAAATGCTATTGAGTATTTTAGTGATATTTACAGTTATTACAGTCTTCTGCTTTAGTCATAAAAAATCATATGCCGTGTTTTAAACGTATGTTTTTTAATATTTCCTATGTAAGTAAATACGGAATATTCAATTAATAACTTTTATTTTAATCCGCAGTTTAAAACTGATTGTTTTTTCACGGCCAACGTCTTTCGGTAATAGTTTTGATTAATAAATTAAACTTGTATAAAAGCGGGCTAAAATTAAAGAACCGTATCAGTGTTCACACGTAAACAACACAGACCACTACAAACATGATGAAGCTGGTGGTGTTGTCTTGCCTGTTGGCCGCGGCTTCTGCGGGCCTTATCGCACCCCTCGCCTATTCGGCGTCCTACGCATACCCCGCAGCCCTCGCCTACAGCGCACCCCTCGCTGCGCCCTACAACTACCGCGGACCCCTGTCTCTGGCACCGGGACAGCCCGCCAACATCCTCGCCGCTGACGGCAGGCCTCTCGACACTCTCGACGTCAACCTGGACCGCGCCGCGCATTACACCGCCAAGGCCCTCGACAACGGATTCCATCTGCTGAAGAAGCGCTCCGTGCTCGCTCCAGTGATCGCCGCCCCGCTGGCCCATGTCGCTACCCCACTGATCACGCCCGCTGTGCGTGTCGCCTACACCGCGCCCTACGCCGCTTCCTACATCGCGCCTGTCGCCTACACCCGCACCGCCACACACGTCGCTCACGTCCTGTAAACTACAAAATAGTTCTAATAGCACAAAAGGAAATAAAATAAACGAATTGAAATATTATATCTTCTTTTCTTGTTTTACTAATAAAATGTCATATTATAGAATATCGACAATTTATTAATTGTCATTAGCTTTACACTTAGGGCCAAAAAAAGATTCGATCTGGAACCAATATTGCTTATCCATAATATTTTTTATAAAAAACATTTTAAATCCTTGTGGTTTAATTTTTTCATCAGTTCATAGTTTATCAATACTTATAGATCGCAATACCGATGAACAAACAAGATCTATCTTAAACAGTCGAGTACAGAAAATGTTGTTTAGTTATTTTTTTCAAAGATCGTGTGTATTGTTTTAAAAAGTTTTGTAAACATATAAGACACAGCGTACGTAATGTTTCATATGCCACCTTTAACTAGATTTTCTGTGATTTTTAACGTTTAGACCTTTTAGTGAAAATTTTGCCACAAACAATATATGTACGTATGGCTGACGCTAACGATGACGCTCATTTTACTTATGGAACTAAAATAGTAATAGCCGGAGACATAATTAAGTATTTTTGGGTCATTTAATTGTTTAGATAATTTAGACTTAAAGGATAAGATAATATTCATAATAATAGATTAACACACAACAATCAAACGATGACTGAACAATCTTGATCAATCTATAAATGATTCTTAATACTAGTTAACTTATTATATAAAAAATACCGGAGAATTATAAAGAAAAAGTCATTTGACATTATTTTCCGTTTTAATTCCA